TGCATGGCTTAACCGATTTTTTTTTTTATATTTAACTTTAATTTAACTGAAAGGTGTATGAGTATTTGCATATAAATGTCACTGTTTGGCATAGTAACCAAAGTAACTGCATTTAGAAATTATAAAAGTACCTCTATCTGTAAGCAAATATACCTTATGATTTTGAGGGTGAAGTAGTAATACCTACTTCAGCTTTTCTTTTATCCTAAATACAAGGCACTTTTACGAATTTTTTTCTTTTATATTGTATTGTTTTTTATCTGTTTTTATGTAATTTATGCAGTTATTTTAAGCAATTATTTTATTAACCACTCAATGTAATTCTGATAAAAAAAATATTTATTTGATAATCAAAACGAACTAATGCTTTGTGAAATTTAGAAAGCTGTAGTCGAATAGTTATATAATTATTGGAAATGATCACTATTTTTAGTAGCACATAATTCAATAAAAACATTAATAAAATTCAAATTTTCCTTCAATTCATAAATAGAAGTTTCTCAATGAATTAATATAATTTAAAAAAAAATTTCAAATGAGACCAATTACAGAAATTCGAATTTGATAAAATCACAACTTATAGAATACTAGAAGAATGAACTGAGTACAATTAATTTTTAATCTACATTATAAGTTACTAAAATGGTGATCATTTCCAATAATTTTCGTAAAAAAACATTGGATTACAATGTTTTTAACTTCAGTAATGTAAGTTCACATTAAATTTTTTTCTGGGTGCGCTACCTGTACATAATTCCAATACCTTCCCTTCAACGACACGCAGGGCTCTATGTTAGTACTCTAACACAACAAAATAATCGATGTGCTTTCACGTAGGTGATGTCAAATCTTGTTACTATGTATAACATCGATGGTCGTCAAAACGATGAAAAAACTTAATACGAAAACTGTGTAATCCATGCATTATTTAAACTTACACACTGCGTTTGCAGAATTATACTAAATATACAGTAGGTCAACCTCGAATCTTTTGATGCCGAGGTCCCAGATTTTGGTTTTGTAGTTCCACCAACTAGATAACGTGCTACGCAACTCCGTCGCCGTAATGGTGCCGCATTTTATTTCGCCGGCCTTAGGAGATTGCTCATCAAAAATCTAAGCGTATTAAGAAGTCAATCTAGCATCTAATATAAATATACATGGTGTTCAAGATGTTCCGAAAGTGAGGTTGGTGTTCGTAAATAGAATATTATATTTACAATTAAAACTTGAAACAAATATCGTACAACGCTGCTGTATAATTTCCAATATTTTTATACTTGCCTCATTTATAAACGCATCTTGGTCATCCGCAGGGCTAAAGGAGGTGTTTGCTTTCACCCTTACTTTTGGTATCCAGCGACCAACGATACCATAACTGAAAACAATAGATGAAGTAATTTTATTCAAATTGAGCCTGCAACTTCTGTTCTTCATTATTTTCAATATCAAGTATAGTGTGTTACCCCATATTATACACCCCAACTACAGCCGTTATTTTTGAAAACAGAAAAAATATTATACAGGGTGTTACAAATTAGTAGGTCAAGCCGTTAACCATATATTCTTTGGACTAAAATAATGGAACTTTTCTTATGCTAATTTTTCATTTTGGAGCCCCATTTTCAAAATACAGGGTATCCAAATTAAAATTTTGAAAATTATTTTTATGAATAGCTCCAGTGATTTTAGAGATATTTGTTTGACGGCACACCTAACAGCAAATAGGAAAAATATATATATATTTTTTAAATTAAAATAACTGTTCAATATGTGTACAACCTTCCCGAATATACAAGGTGATTCACTTTTTATGATATGGACTTTAACCATCGACAGATTTCGTCAAAATAATGTCATTTTGAAGTATACACATTTTCTTCCAAAGGCTTCCTTTTAGAGATATAAGCTCTTGAAGAAATATTTTTTCTCTGGTTTTAATTTATTATTTCTTAAACCATGAAAGCCATTTGTTTTGTATTTAGTATAAAATGTATGAATGAAAAGCTCTATCGATTTTACAAATTATTGTGAAAATTATCAATCCTAGGCGTCCGTAAGCGGTTCTGATAACCCCCATTTTTAATATAATTTCTACGCTAATATCTAATTAGATATTAAACAGGAACATATTCCATTCCAAGAGCATTTTTTGTTAAAACTTAGTTTTTTAAAAATAAATTTAACAACAATTTAAATTGTTAAAATTTGTTAAATTTGTAAAATTGTTAAAAATTTAAAAATGTTATATATACAAAGCGTTTCAGGATTATATGCAAACATTTTAAATACAAATTGGGAATCGGAAAATAAGAAAAAAAGTTCCTATGGACGTATGTCCGGAAACGATTCGTTAAGGATTTAAGGCCGTTTAAAAATGGCGGTCGAGTATTAAATTTTTTCTCAAATTTGAAAACAGATAAAATCCTGAATTTATATCTATTGAGACCTACTACCTGATTGTAATAAAGAATTATAATAAATTGAACTTATTTCATGTTATGTCTTACATTCTTATTATTTAGATATAAGGCACCCAGTTAGATTAGTCGTTGAAATACAAACAAAAATTTTATTTTACTTTTTAGTCAAAAACTACTTATTTCATGATAAAGATGAAAGAAATGAAAAAGTTTCTAAATTAATCTGTCTCTCCAAAAGATGTATTGCAAAAATTGAAATCCTAACGAGTCAAATGTTTTCATGAAAAATATACAGGGTGTTGTTGATTTCACCCGTTCCAAATAAGATTATTTTAACGAAAAAATACTGGTTAGATGGGCCTGGGTCAGTATAACATGTGTACCAAAATTCAGGATTTTATTTTGACCTCCGTAACTCCTTAACGAATCGTTTCCGGACGTACGTCTATAGGAACTTTTTTCTTATTTTCCGATTCTCAATTCGTATTTAAAATTTTTGCATATAATCCTGAAACACCCTGTATATAACTGTAAGAAGATATTATATCTAAACATGTAAATATACCAGGTCTTTTGTCAAAAAAGCTTCTTTATTTTGACACCTCAATATTATTTTCTTTGAGCTTATACAGCTTATTGTTATACAGGAACTGCGTCAAGATTGTAGAAAAACGCTCAGACCCAACGATTTTAGATTAAAAGGGGACATAATTTGCGCCCAATACTTTAAATTACAAAAAAATTTACATTTTAAAATTTAAATTATGTTTAGTTGCTTACTTACTACTTAGTTGATTAAATGTTCAAACTGATAACCACCCGCTTCCATACAAGAATAAATATTTTGTTCGAAACGTTCGCGCACATTCCGAAGCATTTCCGGAGTGATTCAACGGCATTCGTCGACGATTCTTTGATGCAAATCTTCCAGCGACGCTGGCTGTGTTTTATAGATTTTACTTTTTAGGTATCCCCACAAAAAGAAATCAAGGGGCGATAAATCCGGTGATCGTGGAGGCCCCTCAATGCTGCCCCTTCTCCCAATCAAATTCCGTAGAAAACGTTGGTCCAAATACTGACGGACAATTAATGCATAATGCGGAGGAGCACCGTCCTGTTGAAAAATCAAATGATCATCTTACTCTGGAACATTTTCAATAATATCACTCAAGGCAGGGTCAATAGCGTCTTCCAGTAATTGCAAATACATTTGGCCAGTTAAATTACTAGATAGAAAAAAAGGACCAAGCAGCCGTTCACCGAAAATTCCAGCCCATATATTTAATTTTTCCGGTTGCTGTGTATGTGCCTCGTGAAAAACTCTTGGGTTTAAATCGGACCAATACCGTCCCGTTCAAGAAAAAACTGCATTCATCAGAAAAACAGATGTTAAAAAGGAACTGTGGATTGTTCCCTGCTCGCTCACTCATTATTTCGCAAAATTGCAAACAGCGGTCATAATTATCCTCATGAAGTTCCTGGACTAACAATAAATGTATTTTGTATGGATGGAATTTATTCTTCTTCAAAATGGTTTGTATGCTAGTTCGATTGATCCCAGACACATATGCCAGGTGCCTCGTACTTAATGTAGGATCAAAATGAACTTGTCCCAAAACTGCAACTTCACTAGCTTCATTAACTATAGGTTTTTCACTTTCTCGTTTTTTATTAGCTACGTTCCCTGTCTCTTGAAATTTTTTTACTAACTGTTGTTCATTAAATAGCTGAACTGTTCTATTCGCACATTTATTGTTCATAAAGTAGAGCGAAATGAATTCCCTTTGCGCAATGGAATAAACCATAATGTTTAATTTTCAAAAACACAATTAAATAAACTACCAACCAACACTTCCAAATAATACTAGAAAATAATTTGGAATCCACTAATTTTAGGTTCATTGCGTATGTGTAGCATTCATTTCTGTTTTTTACAATTGTGTTTTTTTTTACGAAAGTGATAACAAATCGCCAAAAACCAATGTAACGCAAGAAATACTAAATTTATACCATTGGCGTAGGTACTTAACTCGAATGACTGACATTTTTACCGTTACTAATTGCTAGCAAAAAGAAATACACGTACTTACCATTAACATTTGTTTGGACACAAATTTTACCTATAACTTGTATATGTAACGAAGTGAATTTTCCGTTTCGTCATTATACAATTATGTTAAATTATTTGATTAAATAAAGATTCTTTTGTTTTGTTTCCGTGATTTCTCATATTTCTTCCTTTTCTAATATGTGCATTTACAATATGCATGTAACATCGTTGAGGCCTAAATAATGCACTGTTAATGTAGAAAGAATATTTTTTCTTTACTTTATTATGCATTTTATACCAAAACATTGAATGTATCTAAAGGCTTCTACCCGATTTTATTTATCACATGTTGGTTTAAGGTATTCATATACCTTAATGAAGCTTTTGTTTATTAAATTGCTCATCATGTAGTAAATGACACAAGTGCTAAGAGCGCGCATCTGTTGCGTAGGCATGTTAACCCCCATTTTTCCCGCGAGTGCAAGCAGAGGCAGCAGGAACAGCTGGTTAACCTCAACTTGCTCGAGTCTACGGCAGTCACAAGTTCGCAGTCCGTCGCGGTTCGTTGAAATTCACCAGTTTCTTCGTTACTCTCACTTTTTTAGTTTCTTCCGATAGACTGAACAGCTACTTTTTGTTGAACGTTGTTATTGTTATGGTTTTTTGGAGTTTGTGATTGAGTAGAGGTACGTCTTCTTCTGTTTACTTATTAGTTGTGTGCCAGGTGTAGCGTTACCACCTGTGCGCGTTCATATATTTATTTTGGCATTGAACGACCGGCAAGAAGGGCAAATACTACTTATGGCTTGATTTGGCTTACTAGTACCAAGGTAAACTAAGACTTTTGCAACAAATAGCTAGTGTTTTATTCAGCTTAATGATCAATCAATAAAAACAATGTTAATACATATATAGGAAGTAGTAATTCTTTGTTGACCAGAATATAGCCAAAACGAACATTTTTAACTAAATTTTGCAATATTCATAGAAGTATTAAACACCTTGTCTTCAAAATTATCGTACAATAAATGCACAACAGTTTGTTGTCATGGCAAATTTAGCTGTTAGAAGAAGTACTGGTTTTCAAAACATTGTAACTTTCTCAAAGCACTACCATACATCCAAAGATTTAGGATATAAATTTTTAATTTCACTCTATCAAAAAATAAGCTCGTAAAACTTTGTATAACTGTTAGTTGTGTATTTAGGTATTGTCAAAATCATCATAAATTTGGTACTTTCATTTGTTTCCGAGTATTTTCGTAATGTTTCAATCACAACTTTGCCTTAAATGAGCTAGATTTAAAGCTGAAACTGCAGTATATGAACTTTTAGCCATATAATCGATTGGTGATATTAATTTTTAGTAGACGTCACAGTTACGGGGCCGAGAGGTACACTCGTAATTGATTTAATTTTAATCATATAGGTAGTTCAGAATATTTTCAGCTTTGCGATTGCAAATTATATATCATAGTTTATTCTGCAAATATGGTAACTACAGGCTGTTTTATGTAAAAGTAAAATAAATTTTTAATTTTTAAAGAAGTTATCTGTGACTGTAACGTACTTTTACAGTGGTCGTCGAACTAAAGAAACTTAAGATAACAAATTTCTAATTTGACAGTTGAATTTGTATTGAATATCTAGCAGGAGAATATTCCGAGATATTGACAATGGGACAGTCTGTATCGAGGTCTTTATATAGTTAAGATATTACAAGCAATGCCTTCTATAGTCCTTTATTGTTACATTTTAAAATTCCTCCCACAATTTAAAAAGTTGGTTAACAGTTTAACAAATCTATGTACCTATTTTTGATTTTCGTAACAAGACGTTTCAACATTTTAAATTTTTCTCTAAATACCTAGGTACTTCCTCTTTCCAACAATTATAAATTTTTATTATTGTATACGATGATATCACTGACCACTGACCGATGGTGACAAATATATAATATATTATGTTTACTTATCCTGGGCATAAATAAATGTTTCATTACGATTTTAAATTTCTTTTAAGAACTGTTAATATATTTATGATAAAGAAATGTATACCACAACAATACAGCAAAAAGACACAAGATCGACCTACAAGGAGAAACAAGTATGACAAGAAGTTATCCAGTCGATATCAGCTGTAACGGTGTTCATTTGGGCATTTCTTAACGGGGTCATTCCATTGTAAAATATTTATTGAATGTACTTGGTTTAATCGCAAGTCAAAAGTCAGAACAACAGCTGCTAATTGAAGTGAGTCACACTGATGTGGCCATAACTGTCCTCCCAAATAAGCACTTTACAATTATTACATATCAAAAGTTTGATATATAAGAACGCCGGCAATGATGAATCAAATTATTAAGTTAAGTAAATATTAATAATGGTTTAATCTTCAAATTAAATCAGGAATTGTATCTGTTAATAACATATGTCCTCCGACAGGTAGTTTTAGAGATATGATGATATTACTTTTTCATAACGTAGCAATAAATTTTCGGTTTTGTATACTGAAATGGCATCCAAAAAGTGCTTCTTTTCAAATAAACTTAGAAGACGAAAATTTAAAATGTGAATATTTCGCATTTTTCGACCAATCTAATATCGAACAATCAAACTAACAAACACTGATTTAACATATTTCAGCAGAATCGGATTTAGATGTTATAAAATTACTAAGGTAACAATTTGGATTCCATTTTCGGTTAATATATCAGATGTGTAGGAAGATCAAACATTTGATTTGATTTAATGCAATCACATTTGCCTATCCGAAATTTTCATAATGAAAAAAAGATCCATAAGTAAAAGATAAAAAGTAAATAAATATTTCTTCATTTCGATAAGTGCGAGGGATGTGTAAAACAATAACAATATATTTTACATTTGTTTCAACGCTTAGAAAGTTTGCAAATGCCAATAGAAAATTGTATGGTTGCCTGCTCAGTAAAATTCGGTTCGCTTCCTTCCATTACAATGTCCTTATCGTTCCTAATGTTTAATATAGGTACTATTGTTTATATCTACTCTTGTGCTTAGATGTTGTCTATAATTATCGTGTGAGATACGAAGTACTGAAGTTTAGTACCTAGTAAGTACTGCCCAAAATCCAAAATACGATCTATTAGAAGCACAGTGCCTCCTAATGCTTTGTTAGTTGCATTACTATGAGAACTTGGGGACCGCCTAGCCGGGTGTCTTGGCCGGCGGATTTCGATCTGCCGAGTCACGGACATGGGCTGGAATTTGGATAGGTGACCTAAGGCAGGCTCGGGGACGTGGCTGTGGCAGCCTACCAAGAGACCTGGGTCGCCCAACATTTGCCGCACGCGTGTGGTCCCCGATAAATGATAATGAGAACAGAGCAAGAAATCTCTGTAACTCAAGACCATGCTATCATACATAAACTGTACGAGACTTTGCCACCAAGCCATCCGTGTAGTAAATAAGATGGTTTGAAGAAAAGTACTCGAGTAATGAAGGAGGGTGTACAAGGGGCCTAATAAGGCCTAAGTGCCGTGATGGAAGACAATTCCACCACCACTATGAGAACTTTTTTATCTGCTGTACTTCCAATAGTTTTTACTAGTTTTCAACGTTTCCCCCAATCATCCTGTTTATCTGCCAAAGTTTTGACTATATGGATCTTAAATATTCGTAATATTCCTACTTTAGAATTCAACAACTAAATCATAGGATATCGTCTTAGTGATTTGCACGATCAACACAAACAATTGCCTTTATAAATTATCGTTATATAATCGGCACCGAACACAGCACTCTATAATTATCCCATTATCTTGAGATAAGAAACAGCGTAGTATTGATTCGCTTGATTTAGTATCCATCAATATGCTAATATTGGAACAATGGAAGGAAGCAATAGCAGTTTTATAGAAAAGGTTGCACATTTAACTGCTGAGTCACGCAAAATTAACTTAAAAAAAAGTCAAACTGTAATTAAGAATTACACAGATCTCTCATTTTCTTAGAGCAGTTATAATTATGATAAGAAAAACTTCTTGGTTTAATTGACTTAACTCCCAGTATTTAAAAAAAGAGATATACTTTATATAAAACCATACATAACTATATATAAGCGATAAAAAAAATTGATATTCAAAATTATTTTTCCAGGTAGGAAAGTTTTTTATTATTTCCTATATTTATCACAGTTTTTTTATTTTAATTTATTATTATTACCATTACTTTAACTTGTAAAGCAAATGAAAAAGGCGCTGTTCAATTTGTTGTAACTGATGCATCTTTTGTAGCACATTCTTTAATACCAATTGTGCATAAACTTAAAACACTTTGCTGTATCTATGATCTGTAGATACAAGTTTTTCTCAGAAGTCAGTACTTGAAATTTTGAAATGCACAGACGAAGCTGGAGCTTTGCATACTAATAAATGAACAATTCAGGTGTCGATTATAAGATGTATGTACATAAAATACATACCAATGAGTTCGTTCACACATTATTATAAATTACATTAACTGTAAGCGTTTCAAAATTTATGTTAATTTTATTCATACTATAGCTCTTCCTTTTACTTTTGAGAGGCTCCAAGCTGTGTTAAGTAGGTAACGGTTTGATAGGATCTTATGCTTCATGGATTATATATACAAACTGGAAAACATGGCAGTTATTATAGTCCGTAGACTTATGGCATTTTTTGAAACAAGAACATTAAAGCGGTTTTTTGAAAAAAAAAATACATATTCGGTTATAAGCTCTCGAATTTTTGCTACATTTTAAAAGTATTATGCTAATTGAAATAAATTTCAAATTTATTCTAGAAATCCTGCTCAATAAAGTCAAACAATGTTCCTTGACACCAAAAATCTATGCATACCTAGAAAATATACCTAATCCCGTAGACAAGATTCTTAACTGCGAGATATTGCTAGAAAGAAAGTGGTTATTATTCTTGCTTAAGCAAATTCCAAGCGTTTTTTTTAAGTTTAGTATTATCTTCATATTGCGAATATTCTTAATGATTTAATTACGTAAATTTATGTACATAATATATTATCCAAAGAAACTGATTTTAGGAAAGTAGTAACAAAATAGGTTTCCGAATGAAAAACTATAAAAATTATTATACTTACTACTCGTCGTATACCACACCAACCACTCCATCAGGGTGGTCCTTAAGTACATTCCGATAATGAAAGGGGACGAAAGTAATAATTTTTGGTGATAGGTATTTACAAAGTTTTCCAGTTTTTGAAATAAATATTCGATCAAAATGTCAAAACATTTCATCTTGTAAACAATTTTTCTAAACTAGCTATTTCCTTCTTTAAAAACAAAGGTTACACATTTCCATCGAACTTCACTTGCTGGTTCAGAATTTGAAAAAATCTGTGGCCCACTACAACTTTTTCAGATCCCAAGTTCCAGGTCTTGCAATATGAGAAAGGAAATAAAAATCTACAATCTCTACCAATCACAACATAACCTAATTTAAGCTGGAGACGGAGAACGGAAAGCTTGCAGAAAATAGTAAGATTTAATAGTTTTCTATGGAGGTACTCCATAACATAGCACCACTAAAATAAAAGTGGGCTAGGCCACGTATTCTGTAGTATTTTGTTCCGCTGAATCAGAATATAAAGTTAGTTAGAGTTTCCGGATCAGTACACGTTTCGAACCTAACATCAAGAAATATCTCTAGAAA